CCTGAAGGCTCCCTTGGCCCCGGCACGGCTTCGCAGACCCGGCTGATGGCTTCTCTGAGGAAGACAGGAAGAGACCCGTTTCGTCACAGCGGTCAGGATGACATACCCCGGACACGCCACACGTGCCCAAAACAAAGCTAAGCCGGACGCAAACAGCTCGTCTCGGCCCCTCGGACTGGCAGCAGCCTGGTTCTTCCCACTGCTGTGGTTGTGCCCTGATGCTGTGACACATTATCAGTGCCACACTTTTTTTTTTAAACGTTTGGTTAAGGTGCCATTTTAAAAAGCCAGCACCCTGTGGGGAGGGGATGGCTCAGTGGTAGAGCGCATGCTTGGTGTGCAGCGAGGTCATGGGTCCAATCCCTAGTGCATCCATTAAATTAAAAATGAATAAATAAACCTGATTATCCCCGCTCAGAAAAAAATTTTTAAATAAAAACTAACTAACTAATAAATCTAATTACCCCCTATACTCTCCCAATTTTTTTTTTAAATCAGGACCCTGAAACGCTGAGTCAACCCCTGCTAGTGACCAAGATCCTCTGAAGTGAGTCAGAAGGTAATTAAGAGAAATCTGCTCCTCTGAGCGTTACTCGCAGCTTCTGCGCGTGGTAAATATCACACAGTCAGGAGGAGCGGGGCTCCAAGGGTGTGCAGATGAGCCAGAAGTGAGGCTCTGCGCTGAGGAAGGAGGCCGGAGCGTCCTCGGTACTGAGGGGGCCGGGCAGGAGGACCGGCTGCAGAGGGTCCGACCCGCAGGTCTGCTCCGCGCAGGAGAGCTGGGAGCAGTGGGAAGCCGTCCAGCCCGGATGCTGGGGGCTGGGGAGGGCGTGGCTCGGGCAGGTGCCTGAAAGCGAACGTAGCTCAGCTCTGTGACTCGGGTGATATGGCAGACGTGGCTCCGAAGTCAGGAACCCAGACGGGAGCTGGGTGAATGTCTCAGCTCCCACTGGGGTACGGACAAGATAGTTTAAGAACAGAGAAAAAAATTAATCGGAATTTGGAGATGCACTGAGTGATAAAGAAGATGGCGGGTCCTCAGAAACACTCCACAAACCTTCCCAGCTGAACGCTCCTTGCAATTCTCTTCTGTCATCTAGGAGATGCATTGTCATCGTGACACAATGTGGCCTTGTCACATTGGGTGAGGCTGTTCAGCCAAGTTTCACATCTGCCACTCAACTCAGCGTGCGGAGGGGAGAAGGAAGCACCATTTCAAGAGTTCTAAGTCCATAGAAACTGCAGGCTCTGAATCACCGTGACTCAGAAACGTTTATGTAAAAGCAGCAACTGTCTTTGATGTTTATGCTTCGTCATTTATTTTATAATCACATTCTACCCGGGGTTCTATCAAAACGATCTCCCGAAGTGTTTACTGAAAGTAAACTCCTTATTGAAGAGAGCCAAGTTGTCTCTCTGAGAAACGTGCGTAAAAATTATCTCTATTTTATCTGTTTAATTTTTTTGATGTTGATGCATGTCTGCACCGTGCTTGTTACATTAAGTGATATATTTAGCTGAGCAGAGCAACTAACGCTCTGATAGTCCCAGGAGGCTGGAGAGACATTATTACAGTGGAAAGTTTCCCGGTAAGTCTTTCCTGAAATATGCTTAATAAGCATCAGATTTCTTTTCCCGTCCACCGACACGGAAGACAAGAGAGAAAAAACCAGTCTTGGATGACAGCTTTCAGAAAGGAAACGTCAAATGTCTGACTAATCACTTAGGTTACACACCATCCAACGTCTAACCTAACTCGGCCACGAAGCTTACGTGATGCTTTGGGAGACGGAGGTGGAAAAGACCAATGAGCATTAAGAACAGGATTGTGGAGAAAACGCTGCAAATGATAAACACGGTCTGTCAAACACACCCTCCCGTGCGTCTCGGGGCACCTACAGAGACTCAATCTTTTGGCCTCAACACTCACCAATGTAAGAAATTCTAGAAATTTCTCAGAGCGCCCGGACTCAGGAAAGTGCGGCGCATCCCTGCTGTGAGCCAGCCTTCAGAACCCCCGAGAGCTGTGCAAACCGAGCTGCTTTTCGGAAAAATGCGCTCCCTCCATCACTGGCATAAATTTGGTTCGGTGCTTGTAGGATAACCTGTGTGTGTGTGCACGCTCATTTCAGCCAGGTGGGCAGCACCCAGCTCTGTTTGAAATAGAAATGTGACATAACTATTAACCACTGCAATATTCCAGCGACTGAAATCAGTCACTTGGACTCCGAAGTCTAACTTAAATACAACGATTCTTACTGTCCTAACTGGCCATCAGAGGGAATTTTGGTGAGCAGCCCTGTGTAATCACTTGGCAGTAGTTCTTCAGCTTTGTGTAGATCCATTTAATCCCAGTTTGAGTCCCAGGTAGCGACGCTGCCCTGCTGTTAATAATGGAGATTGCTTCGTAGCCTTCTGTTCCATTTCGGGAAGCCAAGCCATGACCTCGGCGTCCGGCTAATATGAAAATGGAATATCTGGCAGCTGCGGGGTCATCCGAAAGTACCTGAAGCCAGCCTCGAATGCTGAACTTCACTTTCTCCTGATTTCACCATCTTCAGTGGAACTCAGTCTAAAATCCTCGTCATTAGAGCAGTACCTTTCCCATTTAACAGCTCTTTAAATGAACCGTAGTACTTTAGAGCTGGGCCCTTTGAAATACTGTAGCACCATCTTTCTCCTTCCTCCCCCATCTCATTGCTGCCCACCTGACCTCCCCAAACACACACACACACACACACACACACACACACACGCTTTGCAGACTAAAACAAAACAAAGCAAAAAACAGGGCATCGGGTTATTTCTACGTCCATTTGATCATGTTCTAGTTGGAGGATGGTGCAAAACGAACACATTGCAATCAATTTCAGGAAGAAACAGAAAGAAGGGACACTTAGAACGTGCAGAGAAGCAGACATACCACTCCTCTCCCCAAGTGTGCCCCCGGCATAAGGATCATTTGACGAGAAACAGATACAAGAAAAGCTCTCCGCACTTCCCCGATTCGCCTACAAGCAAGACACAAATTTGCAAAGGCGTCTCCCTCCCCTCTCTACCGGGAAGGACAGAAGTTAATCCCTGGCGACACCTCCATCCACTAAGAGATGCACCAAAGGAATCTGCGTAACAAGTCTTGCTACTAGTTCTTACCTGCCGTTAGCTTTCTGATGCATTTATCTTCCCACAATTTGCCACCCCTAAAATCTCAAAAGTCTTTTCTTGTGTCTTGTCAGTTCTGTGCAGATTTATTGCTCTTTGATTAAGATATACGCCTAAGTTCTAACCACTTCGTTGAGTTGACTTGCGTGTAGATGCACTGATGCATTCATCAACAGTTTGGGGTTTTTTTTTTCTCTTGTTACTCTGTCTTCTGTCAGCCTAATTCGCAGGGTTCCAGCCAGGGAACATAGAAAAACAGAGCCAAAAAGGGTTTTCCTCCCCTCCAGGAATATACGCGGTAATGCGTGCAGTAGGGGGGTTACCCAGTGAGTGGCATCTGCACAACCATCCAGGAAAAAGCTAAGCTGGGTTCCCATCTGATGCCTTATATGCAAATAAATCCGAGGTGAATTTAGTTTGTTTGTAATGAAAGCATAAAAGTACTAAAAGAAAACCAGGAAGACTTTTTTTAGTCTCTGAATGATACAGAAACCATAAGAGAACGTTTTGACACAGTATCCTAAAAGTAAAACGTCATGCATGAAAAACGGTAACGTTTCACAGTTAAAGAGATCATTGTCTTAACGCAAGTCCATAAGGAAAACAGCAAAAACCCAATGGAAAATGGGCAAGCGAGCCGAACAGAGTTCACGCCGGAAATACAATGTCTCTTGAAAATACGGAAAGAGCCCAGCTTTACTCACAGTAAGGATGCAAACTAAAGCCCGTACTAAGCCCCACTTTTCGCAGCTAGATTTAAGCCCGGCCGGCCTTGTAAGGAGGGCACCCCCGTCAGTGAGTGTGGCTCGGCCCAGCCTCCGCGGGGGCAGGTCGGTCAGACCCTGACAATGAAAGACACGCGGACCCTTTAACCCGGCAGCTCTCCTGGGAACGCAAAGTCCAAACACGCTCAGAGACAGGCCGGAAGACCCGCGTTCACCACCACCGACCGCAGCAAAGGCTCTAGCAGACCGATGGGAAGCCGTCAGTGCCCATCACGGGGCCAGTTCAGTAAATCGCGGTGCGGCCACACAGCGGGCCTTCGACAGCACGGCTGATGGCGCCGTCCCCACCCGCACGTCCCTGCCCCTCCTCGCCTCCCTCCAGGCCACTTCTGCCCTCACAAGCTGTCCCCGCAGAGCCGCCAGTACCCTCCCGGCGCCGAGTCCACAGGCAGCCCCGTTGTCCTCACCTCCTTCACACACTTCCTTTTCTTGCCTTCCTGGCCCCACACTCCGGTGACGTCCTCCACCTTCCCGGGCGCTCCTGGTCCGTCTCCTGCCTTCTCTGTGACTGCACCTGGGCAGCCCCAGGGAGCTGTCCCACCCTCCTCCCCTTCCATCCTCTGTGTGACCCGGACCAGTGGACGTGCAACCTGAGAACGAGTTTACTGCCCCGACCTCCGTCTGAATCCACTCGGCGTGGGGCTGGCTCCTCCCTGGCCCTGGATACAGCCCCGGCCGTGCCCCACAGCTGGTCCCCTCACTTCCAGACACGGAGATGCCCTCAGTCACTTACAGCTGACTCCGCTTTCCTATTTTCAGTGATAAAAACGCCCGGTCCAGCATGACAGTAAAAGCCCGGAAACCACTTACAGTTACAGCGGGCTCCTCCCGCCCTTAGCAAGCCACCCGCGGCCAGGAAGGGAGGCGTCTCCCTGTCTCCTGGTTGCAGTTTCTGACGCCTTGGCTGGGTTGGAGACGGGGTCTTAGGGACGCACACAGAGAGTCGGGGGCGCTCAGCGGCACTGGGCCCCTGGCCAGCTTTGCAGCCGACCCCTCACCGGGGACTCTCCTTGCTTCTTTGAAGGCTGCTCCCCCAGGGACGGTCGGCTGCCCGTGCTGTTCTTCATTGGCCCGCATACCTGTCCCCTCCTGGCATCCACACCCGCGGCGTGGCTGCTGACACGGCCCCAGTCTTCAGCAGGGAGCTTGCTGGGGTGGGTCCAGCGGCTCCTGGACCATCCAGGTGCCTCCTGCCCGCAGCACCGTCACCTGGCCATCAGCGGGAGGTTGCTTCTCCCCAGACACACCCACTCCCGCTTCAGGCTTCACTGGTGTGAGTCCACTGGTCCACTGGGCCCCCCAGACTCTAGATCTTCCCAAAGCCCCTCACTGTCTAAAGCAAGGGGGACCGCCTGGCCCCTCCCACACGAGGGGGACAGACCCCAGGGCAAGGACTCTGGCAAAGACATCCCCTCCGTAACTCCCAGGCTCTTTCCTTACACCTGCTGGGCGGGGCTTGGGCGAACAACAGCGAAACAGCTTCCCACCTCACCCCGTCTTCCCAAGCGGTGTTCTCGCACGCACCGCAGCTGGAGCCACGCCCCCCCGGGACCTCAGCTGCACAGAGACAGAGCCCGGTCTGAGCTGCGTCACCTCCACCCGCTCCCATTCTGAGGTGTCTCACTGTTTCTAGCTCCAAGTGACTCGTTTGCCGTTTTCTTTCGCCTCAGCGTCTCCCAGAGGACCAGGCTCTTACAGGCGACTGCCACATCCAGTTGGCATTTCCAGTTCCCTGTCTTAAAGTCGTCTCAGATTCAGCGTTTTCAAACCAAGCCGTGACTGTCCCCAGCGAAAGCACCCCTCCCCTGGTCTTCCCAAGGCGGAAACCGGGGCCACGTGCAGTGGGTCGTCCCCACCCCCACCCAGGAGCTGTCCCCGATCCTCCTGCAGATCCATCACAGCCCTGACCGCCGCGGAGAAGGCCAGCCGTCTGTGTTCACGAAGCCCACAGGGCAGCGCAGGAGACCGACGCCACGTGGAAGCGTCGGGGGCAGACGGGCCAGCGCGCCAGAGCACACGGCGCACGGGTGACTCGCAAAGGACCAGGGCTGGAGCCGGGGCCAGAGGAGAGTGACACCACGGAGGAGGAGGAGGAGCAGCCGCAGGGAGCGGGGCCGAGCCGGCAGACTGCGGTCGGAGGGGCGGAGGGCCGTGGAAGGAGAAGCAGAGGGATCTAGAATTCAGACCCAGGTCCAAGAAGCATTCAGAGATGCGCTGAGGAGGGGCAAACCACAGAGGCCTTCCAGACAGGGCTGCCGGGGAGCCAGAACTGAAAAGACATGAACCTGGCAGCAGCGCGATGGACACAGAGCGGGCGGAGAAGCAGCAGGCAGGGGGACCAGCCCCGACCTCCGGGTTGAAAAGAGGCCGCTACTGTGCACAAAACACAGACAACAAGGACCCAGTGCAGAGCCCAGGGAATGTGTGCAACTGACTCACCGTGCTGCCTGCCAGAAACTAACGCAGTATCGCAAATCAACCAAACTTCAATTCAAAAAGAAAAGAAGAGAAGAGGGTCACCTGGAGGTCGCCTGCAGGCCTGCCTGATCGTGGCGGGTGACGCCGACGAGGGGCCACAGACGGCTGGCTCTCACCGCAGGGACAGCCTCCCTTCCTCCCCAAGGACACGTGAAGGCGGCTCATTACCTCCGCGGGGAAGCCGTGAGACACAGGCGGGCAGCGTCTGAGGGCCGACCCCGCACGGGGACGTGGCCACGGGGCTGCCAGCCAGGGTGAGAGGGTATGCAGGGGACCGGGACCTCAGAGGGACACTTAGAGCAAGTGGCTTCCTCCCAGCTCCGTCCACCAAGCGGCCCGCAACTTCCCACCACGCGCAGCCCAGAGCAGCCAAGGGTTACCAAACTACCCAGCAAACAGACAGCATTAAACGTAACTTTCAGGGATCAGAAACAGCTCAGACTTAATTTGCCAAAAGTAATTTCATCAGAACGGGCTGAAACCACGTAAGTCTTCCAGCAAGAGGATGTTGCAGGCGTGAGCAGGGACACGAATCTTGAAATCTGGGCACCGCTTGCTAACGCAAGCTCCCTGCTGTCGTAATTTCTTGGGGTCGCCCATGCTGTGGTCATCCCAGCATCTTCAGCGTACGTGATTCGCCCCAGACACACGTACGCAGTAGGAGTCAACAAGTACTGGTTGATGATTATTAAAAAAAAGTAGTATCTTATAATTTCTCATTAAAAAAACAAAAAGCCCAGTAGGAGACCAGAAAAGAGCGTCCTGAGCTGTGCTGTACAACGTCTCACAAGATGAAGACCACCCCTTGCGACTGCTGAAAGCGTATGGACCGAGAATACGGCCCCTTGAGACAGCAATGAAGCTGATATTCCTAACTGACTTAAGACTAGAGCTTGCTCAGGGTCCCAGCTGGGGTCACAGGTGTCTCTGTCTGAGAGATCGAGGACTGGCTTTATTCTTGGGAAGGCTTCCACTAAATTTTCTTTTCCCCTTTAAAATTCTAACGGGTGGTTTAGAAAAAGTTCTCTGCTCCCACCTCAACGGCTTTAAGCTGCTGATAAGCCAGAGAGCACACCTGTAGCTGACCTTTCTGGCAGACGCAGGGTTATAAAGAGCCGCGGTCTTGGGAGGTCAGGGTGTGTCCACCCGGCTGCGCGGCGCTCCAGGCGAGACGGCAGCACCCGCCTTCGGAGCACCAGCCACCAAGGGGCCGGACGGGGCTGCCCAGGGCAGCCTGGAATCCACAGACCTTGGAACCCCTGCGCGTGTCTGTCTTCGCTGCCAGAGTTTGGAGAGATGCATCTTCTGAGATCAAACACCACGAGCTTCAAAGAACCCAGAGCCACTGAGACCTGCTCCCCTGCAGCACAGCAGCAACGCGGGAGAAGCAGACAAACCTGACCCCGAGGCCTGTGACCCTTTGGATGCACAAACCAGAAACAAACGGGGGCCTGACGTTTGCCAGACTTTCTTCTACGTGCTTTCAAGGTATGGCCTCGTTTAACCCTCACACGTCCTGGAAGGTAGGACCATTCAGGCTGGTTTTATAGTTGGTGAGGCACAGAGCAGTCAAGCAATGTGCCTGAGATCACACAGCTGGCAGGTACCTAAGCCTGCTGGGAGCCCCCCAGGACGTGGACCCACGGCTACGAGGCCAGGCCACGCGGGCGGCCCAAAGAGGTGGCACATTCTCTGAACTCCAGTCTGCGGATCTCAGGGAGAGCCCAGACGCGTGTTCCTCGGCAAAGTCACCCCCCCCCAACAGAGCTCAGAATCTTACACTCACAGGACCACATAAGGCCTGGGAAATCCTTAACACCAATTCTAACCCACCAGGGAGCCACGGGGACCAGAAACCAGGGGCCATATAAGTCCAAACTCTGCCTAGGGCGGATAAGAAAACCACGTTCAAGGTGCTCCAGTGGCACTGCTCGGAGTGAAGGGAGCAGACGGCGGACACACTCAGCAGGAAGGAGGCTGAACCGAATCACGTGGCATGCGGGGGGTCAGACAAAAGAGAGGACGTGAGCCGTGATTCCACGGGCACGGAACTCCGGGAAACGCCGTCCCGTCCACACGGCTGAAGCCGTGTGAGAGACTGGGAGGCGGCAGGAGGCAGGAAGGGGCTGGTGTGGTGCCACCTGGGGGACGCCTGCTCCGGGGTTTCCCACCACGCCCCGTGAGGCTCGGGGCGGACCTCCACCGCCAGGCCTCTCTGGCTCCAGTCTCGACTGAGCCGCCTACATCTGGACCAAGCCCCTGCGCCCTCTCCCCTCGATCTGCCGTGCTCGCTTTTCTTTGCAGAATGGCAGCTGCATCACCGTGGGTGCCCCTGCGAGGAGGCAGCTCAGACACTAGGCCGTTCCCACCCTTGTGCTGTGCTGGCCGACGAGACTGAGAACCCGTTTCCCAGGGAGATCTTTCCCTTTAGGGCCCTGCGGGTACAGAGATGCGGGTCTTGGAGGCAGCAGCCAAAAGCAGGTGCAGCCAACAGGAGGATTTCCAGCGCAGCCCTGTCTGACGGTCCTGTGCCACGCACAGGCTCGTCCTCTGTAGCTGTTCTCTGCGTATCGTGACTTTCAACATCCCAGAGAACCTTTCTGCCTGGGGAGAGACCACCCGCTCTGGGGTTAGCTGAGTCTTACAGACAGCAAAGGGCGCCCCCTCTGAGCATCTCTGACGTGCAGACTGACCAGTCCGGAGCCAGGCCTCCTCTCCCGGGCCTCCACACCCCAGAGGCAACACCCCTGTGCTGACGCATCCCAGGACCAGGCACCAGGCAACTGCGACGCCCCTGCAGCTCGGAGCCCGCAGCGGTTACTGACATGAGCCATCCTGACAGTCCACGCCACCCTGCCCTGCCTTTCCCGTGGAAACCCCGGGAGAGGCTCTGCCCTCAGCCTCCTCTCTCCTGCTCTGCCCCCTGCCCACCCTGTGCTTCCCGGCACCCTCCCCACCCCCGTGGCTCCCGCCTTCAAGTTGCCTGGTGGGCAGGGAGGTCATGGCAGCCTCACAGCAGCTTAGGGGCCATCTCAGCCAGAAGGCTCCTCCTCTCCACTCCTGGGGGCCATCGCAGTGAGCGCCCCCTCCCAGGGCCGCTGCTGGGGGCCGGGGCAAGGAACCCCTGGGGGCCCAGCGGTCAGAGGAGGGGAGGGGACGCCCCACACTCCTGCCTCTTTCGCTGGCCTACTTCACGGGTCCCAGAACGCCATCACCATTTCGTCAACAGCAAGACCACGGCAGACTGCCATCCGCACGAACCACAGAAGGCGGGCAGCAGGGAACACGGGAGCCAGAGGACGAAGTCCTAGAAGCAAATACCCCATGGACACAGTGGGCTGTTCTTCTCAAAACATGTTTAATACCAGGCGAGGACCACCGAGCCGTCGGTCACAAGGGCAATCACCAGGCAGCGAGGGGGTCAGCCCCCCGGTGGGGGCTGCGGAGGTGGTGAGCGGCGCTCCTGGGGCCGGAGCCCCCTCCTCGGGTCCTCAGACAGTGCCTCTCAGGGAGACAGCACATCTGCAAGGCAAGAGAGAAAATGCTGGTTTAATTCATCCTCCTTCAATGTTTTTTCTGAGTTATAGTCAGTTTACAACGTTGCGTGAATTTCTGGTGCACAGCACAGTGCCTCGGTCACACACGAATATACACAGATTCGCCTTCGTATTCGGTCCTCCTTTACAAATGGCGTGAATCCCGCCCCTTCGTGGGGGAGGCTCTCCTGCTGGTGGCGTTTATTTGGACAAGCTATGTTTCCCTCTTCCGGTCATTCACCAAACTCCGTTCTATTGGAGAGGGTCCCCTTCTTAGTCCTCACGTGTGAGTTTCTGTCCACATTTGCCCGTTTCTATGCACCTGTCAAAACAAAGTCCCTCTGGTTTGAACTTGCCGAACGCAAAGGACAGGAGCGGAGCCTGAGAAAAACGTTAGGAAGCACTGAATAAACCTACAAGGAAATACGTTTGGGCAGTTGCTGTGTGTGCAGGTAATCCTCGATTTAAGGGGTGGAGTGAGGGGGGCTGAGGGGTCTGGGGCCCGGAGGGTGGGTCTTCGAGACCCCCTGCAATTAAGGCTCTAAGTTGTAGGAGGAAGACTCTCACACACACGCGCGCGCACGCGCGCATGCAGGCTGTGCTGAGCCAACACCCCAAGAGTGAGGGAGCTGGTCTCTGCTGTGGGTGTCCCCCAGCACGCATCTCCCTGAGCCATCACCCCGAGACGTAGGCACCATCCTTCCCCTTTGGGAAAAAAATAAACCAAGATAAAAAGAATGATGCTCAGAGAAGTTACTTAATTCCTCCCCGAATCACGTGGTATTAGAAGAGTCAAAATCTGAATGAGACCCTCGGGGCTCCACATCCAGGCCTTTCCCAGCCCCGAGTCTCCTTAGAGGTGGGGGTGGAGGTGCCAGCCACCTAACTCACCCAATGCACCGCCTGACCCAGGGCCGCACTGCCAGCAGCCCCCGTGGGCGAGGAAGCCAGCACCCCGACGGCCACACAGGAAGAGGACACCCAGCCTCGGGTGTGAGATCCTGCCGGCACCGCAGCCCGCAGGGCCAGGGGCAGCTCTGCTGGGTGACGCTGGTCACGGCCCCAGAGCGCTGAGCCTTCGTCTCTCGTGAGGACGCTCAGCGTCCTGAGCTGCCTTCGAAAGCCACCCAAGCACATCACCAGGTCCACACGACACCCCACGACCACACGGGATGGGTGGTGCCCAGCGCTGATGGACCAGGTGAGAAGAGGGCGTGCAGACACGGCATCGCACTCAGATAAGACGCAGGGAAGCAGACATGGCACCCCTGTCTGCTCCGCTCTGCTCCTGGGGTGCGGGGAGGCCCAGCAGGTCAGCAGGACCGCGAGGCCAGCACTCGGACTGGCCTGGGCCTGCACCGGCCCCTCCCCCTCCAGGGTTCGGAGGTCAAGCATGTGTAGAACAGCCAGACCCCATGGGCGGTGGGGGACGGACAAGGAGCGGAGCCACCCGCGAGGGGTGGGCTGAGAGCCGACAGAGGAAGGGGGCACAATGCGTGCAGTGAGGAGCAGGGACCACATCAAGCCCCCACTGTGCGACGCGCAGAGGCCTCTGAGGAAGGATAGACCACAGGCCTTCAAGTGCAGGGTCAGAGCGGGGGCATCCCCTGCCCTGAGCGCGGGCTGGGCCCTCGTTGGTTTTCGTGGGGTGTGTGTTGAGAAGGGTGCCGTGCCCGGTGTGGGAGAGGGGAGGGCAAGCAAAGACACAGAAATGAAGAGAGGAGAGGCTGGGCCCAGTGGACCAGGAGGTGCCTGGAAGGTAGCTACAGAGCACAGAGGGATGGTCTGGAGAAAGACCCTGGACGGGAATCAAGAAAACAGACAAGTAACCCACGAGGGTGCTGCCGTAAGCAATGGGAGAAATTGTATCTAAAGAGAGGCAAGGAAAAAAATCCCTGGGAGATCATATGAAGGTTTGGATACAGAGAGAGAAACAAGAAAACTCTTTTCCTCCTAACAGCAGTGAGCACATCGAAAGGGGGTGGTGAGGTGAAGGGTGGGGAGCCCCACGCACATCGAGGCCAGACTGCGCAAGACAGTGGATGAGCGTAACAGTGGGGCACGGCCAGCATGGGGGCAAGTGTGAAACGTTACTGCAGGCCGTAACAAGACAGGAATAAACGTCCCCAGATAGGAAGACACAACAGCATTAAATGTAAATTCTCGGGGTGGGAGGGGAGGGTAACAGGTCAGTGGCGGTCCTGGGTTCAATCCCCAGTACCTCCGTTAAACAGATAAACAAATAAATGTAAATTCTCCCCGAAGCAACACATGAATTTGATAATAGTTGTAATTCTAATGAGATCTTTTTGCGCTGGACCACGTGATGTTAGAATGCGTGAGAAAGTTCAAGAACTGTGAAGAAGTTTTTCTAAACAGCAAGAAAGGGGCAATGCCTCCCATGAGGCCAGAAACACGACTACGCCACCAAGACCAGAATCACAGGTTACTGGCGTCTGGAAGACACATCTATCAGTGGGCTGAAATAGCGCCCAGAAGCAGAGCCAGGTGCATGAAGGAGTTTAGTAGGTGACACGGCAGAATTTCAACTCAATGGGGGATTCCAGTTTGGGCACCTGTGTCCTATTTCAGGTGAAATAAAAATCCAAATGTAAAAGGTACAGTAAGTTAAAATATTAAAAGAATCATTAGTCGACCCTCGCAGTGAAGGAGATATATTCAAGGCAGGAACGCTATGTCATAAAGGAATCACCGACAGATGTGTTCCAATTACAAACTGTAACTGTGTTGCAGAATATTTCCAGCACACATACAATGTGCCAAAAGCTCCCCCCAAACTGATAAGAAAATAAAAAAGAACCCAGTGGAAAGTGGGCAGGTGATGTAAACGTGACTCAGTAAGTAAATAAAGCCAGCCAGCAAATATGTGTGAGAAGGTGCCACCTTTCTGGTACCCAGAACCTCCAAGGAAAACCAGAGCAGCGTGGTTTTGACCACCAAGCAGGAACTTAACAACACCAAGACCCGGGGCCACAGATCTGTGCAGAAAGGGCTGCGTCCACCCATTGCTCAAGACAGTGGAACTTGAGAGGTGACCCCGGAAGAGCCCCACGTGGAGGAGTCGTAGGGAAATCGGAGCTCCAGCCCCGGGACAGAGGCCGCGAGGCCTTGCTGCTCAGCTCCGTCCAGCACAGCAGCCAAAATGGGAGCGGCTGACTAAACTGGCACGTAGCCACCATGGCCTGCAGCTGTTAAACACACACACACACACACACAAGTTAGACCCAAATCTACTGGTCTGTTCATGAAGAAGGCAAAATGTGGAGTAATAAGTTGGTGTGAATCCGTTTTTAACAAAAAGAGGCAGAATCCCTGTGTGTGTGTGATGCGTGTGTGTGGTGTGTGTGTGTGTGTGAATGTAAGAAAAACAAAACAAAGTGGCTCCCTGATACCTCACCTCAAGTTGGTGTGACTGGAACAGAAAGAAACTTCATCATTTCTTTCTATACTTTATGCCATTTGACTCTTCACAATAAGCATCTATTATTTTAATTAAATTTTAAAAAGAAAACAATTTAATAGAACGAGAAATTAGTTCACGTGGCCACACGCATCGGTAATTCGTTCTGTTTAGTGGTATTTACGGCAGGAACCTGCCGGGATTTATTTGTTCACTGGTTGATTGACAGTTGGGTTTTTTCTCGCTCGGGTTTTCTATGGATTCTGATGCTCAGAACACTGACATACGGTGGACATATGTTTTGCTGGGTTGTATGATAAATTTATATTAATTTCATTAAAAAAATCTGTCCAGCTGTTTTCCAAAGTGTTGTGCCGTTTTGCACCCCTCCCAGCAACAATACACAACAACATGGGTGACCCGCAAAGCGTTGCGCTGAATGAAGGAAGGTAGACAATAAAGACCTCATTTTGTGATTCCACTTATCAATTCTAGAAGAGGCAGAACTGTAGTGCAGGAAAGCACCATGGTTGCCTGGGGCAAATTTGGGGATGGCAATCAACTTCAAAAAGCGTAAGGGAATTCGGAAAGCAGATAAAAATATTCTGTATCTTCTCCGTGATGCTAATTAAGTGACTGTATACAGTTGCCAGCACCCATCAAACTGTACACTCAAAATGGCTGGATTTCATTTATCTAAATCAGACCTCAGTGAAGCGATGGGAAAACATACAGTCACGGAAAAAGGATTTTAATGAAACAAGAAACAGCCCACCTCTGAGCCACCCACGCACACCGAGGCACGCAACCAGGAGAGGCGCATGCACGCGCTCCCAGGAGGACACGCAGGGGGTCACCCTCGCTGGGCCCACCCGGCAGTGAAAGAGAACAGACAACAGAAGGTTGAAGACAACGTGATGAGGGCAAGAACAAGGCAGAGGCGAAGGCAAAGACGTGCTGCATCCTCCCACGCACGGAAGTTCGAGAACGGGGCAGGGGTTCCCCGGCTCGGGAAGCGCGGTGGGAGGGGGCGTTCCGGGGTCTGGAAGTATTCGAAGTCGTGATCTAGGCGCCAGCTACTCAGTGCACGCACGTGGAAAACGCCAGCGAGCTGCACACTGAATATTTGTGCATTCCACCAGAGGAATGCTGCACCTCAACAAATTTATTTTTAAACACAAAGATAAGGCTGAACATTCCAACAGGAAAACCAGCCAGCAGGACTGGAATGGGTTTTGCCACGTCCTTAGAACCCCTCAACGCTCTTGGAGCCAGAAGAAAGCTGATGAAAGTAATTCTGAAACAGGGATATGGTACGTTTTAAGGGAAAACGTTCCTGGGCAAGTACTCAGAGCTAACGTGAAAGCGAGCCCCCCACACTTTAAAGGGCCCCGGGAGAGACTGCCATGGGAACGGAAGGAAGGCAGGAACCCAAGCGGCATTTTCAAGAAGAGGACACACAGTTCGAAGACAGTGACTCTGCCTGGCAATGGGGCGGTGTCACTGCCAAACCAGGAAGATTGTAAAAGTAACAGTAACAGCCGCCACTGACACTCACAGAGCGT